AATGAATATCAGTGTTTTAACTGGGCAGATTGGGCCGTGTGCCGGGCCTAATGCATGCACACACCTCCTGACAGGCCGGGTACAGATGGTCTGAGCGTGAGTCTGAATGAGAGCGGGACCATCCGCGCTGCTGACGCATTGTGGGGGGACGTCGTCTTCAATACAGCACTTAATGAGAACAGACTGACTCTTTCTCCCTCCCCTCCCCTTCTCCATCCTCCGACCATTCTCCTCTCCCCCTCCTCTCTCTCTGATTCTCCACTTCTCCTCTCCTCTGCCCATTTCCATCTGTTTGGAGACAAAGGGCCACGAGCCAGCTCGAGCCCCGGGACCCTGCTGGTGAAGGAGGCAGGAAGAATACGGCCCATCCCGGGGGCTGCATTTCAACACATGGACCAGGCTTTGTACTTCTGCTGCACGAGCACCCTTCATGCTGCACACACACTTAGGGATGTGCACGCTTCACCTACAAACACACACCTCTATGAGGGAGAAAAGATGGGGCGGGGGGTTGCAATATTAACGGGGGAGTTCTCCCCTTGAACATGAACACTTTCATAATATGTGAAGAATAAAAGCCAGGGCGCAAAAATGAGGCAGCACCAAAAGCCCGAAGTGTTGTTCTCGTACTGTGAACATATGGCTGTTTGTTGTCATACTCTCCCTCCCTGTCCAATTTACACAGAGCTAGTGAGCCCTCAGAATTGTGTGTGTGTGTGTGTGTGTGTGTGTGTGTGTGTGTGTGTGTGTGTGTGTGTGTGTGTGTGTGTGTGTGTGTGTGTGTGTGTGTGTGTGTGTGTGTGTGTGTGTGTGTGTACCTGAATGATGATGAGGAGGATGCCCTGACGCTGATAATGGCCACTGTATAATCCCCTGCTGTCTGCACACACCTCTTGACATATGGTCACTCCTTGGCCTCCACCATTACATAAACCCACAGTGCATAATGGTGGGGGGGGGGGTTTGGTGAAACATGGTACTTTCTCACGCACACACACACACACACACACACACACACACACACACACACACACACACATACACACACACACACACACACACACACACACACACACACACACAGACACACACACACACACACACATGCAGCGGCCACACTGTCAGCCAGGCTGTTCGCCGCCCTCAGCAGTTTGGGCTTCGCCTGTCACTTTCCTCTCCCCTGCCCCTTCTGGGTGTTTTGTAAAGAATAAATTGAAGAGGACTCAAGCTACGGAAGCTTTTGGGATGAGGAGCACAAATGGTCTTGTAGTGCTTCACGGAGACGTGCAGATGGACTCCTCCATTCAATAAGCTGCAGCAGAAGTCCATGTCCACCCCTGCCAGAATCACAGAGCTTGTTTTGTGTTCTGAAGAGGACAATCTGTTTGATGCAACATATTGGGCTTTTTTTCTTTTTTTAAAGATAGAGCTGTCTTTAATATTGGACCAGTCAGGTTTGAATGGTGTCTAATTAGAATCAAATGATGATCAAATTATGATCAAACATTTAAATGTAAGTGTTTCGTATGTGATGCAAAGTGCTGGTAGAATGAAACAAATACGCCGCCTTTATTTTGTGACTTGCGTGACAGTCTTCTTCTAAGTGACAATGCGTCTTTGGACAGACCAGGAATCAGAATCGCAAAACTTCTCTGGCTGCAAATTCAATGAGACAAAAATGTGTCTAAATGTTCCAACGTGAGCGAAAAATGTGCCTGTTTATGTGTTTGCATCATAAACATACAAAGAAAAAGAAAAAGAAAGGAGAGAAACTGGAAGGAAATAACAGAAAGAGTAGTAGTTTCTGCATTCTGAGTTCAAGCCAGGGCTAAACCAAACACAAACACAGTCGAAGCACCCGTTGCTAGCTAGCCTGAAGCTAACGTCTGAACAGTTGGTGTATTGGCTGTTTGGGGCGAATTAACACCAACAGTCCATTGGCGCGAATGACCAAAGGCACACATTTGCTAACAGTGCAATGTAGCATTACATATAACAGGATGATATTTCCCAACATATCTCTTCAGTCTATTGCTTTAAATCCGCCCCAAGCTGCTACTACAGAGCCTCAGAAACTGTTAACACAACATTGACACATTTTCACCTTTAGAGTGTCCAGTATTCTCTTCTTATGGTCTCCAACAACTCCTGAGGGGAGAATATGTCTCTTTAAATGCTAAATACTCCACTATGTTCACTAGCTAGTGTCTATGTGTGTGTTTGCTGAGCAGGTTCTATGCACCTGGTCTAGTGCAGGGGTTCCCAACCTTTTTTCCCAAGAGCCCCCCCCCAAATGACTTCTGTTGGAAGTTGCGCGCCCCCCCCCCCCCCCCCCACACACACAAGGGGGGGAGGCGCAACAGCGGTAATTAGAGTTTAAAAGTCTCAAAAATGCTACAACTACTGTCACAAACTGGATGAATGTGGAGTATTGTGTTAAAGGAGGATGAAAGCGTAATTAAGGAGCACTATTGGAGTGACTTTGATGGTTATTGGACTCAGGATTAATTCATTTGGATTCCCGCTGTATGAAGAAATTAAAGGACGGCGCAAATGGAAACAATTCACAAAGGGATTAAACTGTTTAAAACACATGCTCAAAGTAAACCGGATTTTGCCGATGTGTTTATGTGGATTCAAAAGTCGTAAATAATCTACAAAATGGAGGAGACCGATCTGATTGGAGCAACTGTGAAACTGTGAAACCAACTGAAACCGGCATGGACAATGACAATGTTTTAAAAATGCGCTTATCTAGAAAAGCCTGTTTTGGACACTTTACGGGCAGAAGAAACATTTATATTTATATTAAAGAAAGATCATGTATTGCGTTACAAAATATTTTATCTAAATATGATATTTGGCCTCAAATTATCTGAGGCCTGGCTCCCCCCCTGCGATCTTTGGCAGGGGGGGAGCGCCCCCCAGGTTGGGAACCACTGGTCTAGTGGGAGTGAAGCAAACAGTAAAGTCGTGTACATTTACATTTCAGTATGTCGAGGGATTGCAGATTGAGATTCTCATCTGTCACATAGGCCATACTTGTTAAAAGAATGATAAATTAAAGGAATCAAGCTCAGTAAAGTCTGTTGTACAACTTCAAGTTGTTAGCCGCCACCGGAATGAGTAATCCTGCAGTAGCAAGGCCCCTGGTATTGAAATGAGAAAAATTGCGTTTTACTTCTCATGAATGCATCTTTTCATAAGAGGAACCATTGTGCTATATCTTCTATGGAAAGTTGCTTTAAAGTTAGTTTCCAAACATTTCAAGCTGACATGTACAGCAGCCTTGTCCCCATACACACTTCCGGGGCCCGTGTGGGTGCAGCTGAAGGTAAAACAAGGTGGATGACTGACAGACTGACAGACAGACGCCAAATGGAAAAGAAAAAACACACAGGGGGCCCTTGAGCTGAAAAGCAAAGTACATTTCATGCAACCTTCGGTCTCCACGGATAAAAAGACTTGGAACAGGCAACATGGATTCACTAAAATCACTGCAGCTGCCACCTGAGAGAGAGAGAGAGAGAGAGAGAGAGAGAGAGAGAGAGAGGAGAGAGAGAGAGAGAGAGAGAGAGAGAGAGCGAGAGAGAGAGAGAGAGATAGAGAGAGAGAGAGAGAGAGAGAGAGAGAGACTTGATATGCATTCTGCTCCCCAATTGGAACAGCTTATGTGGCATTTCCTGGGTGAAGGGTTCGATTCCCAAAGGGCCAACCAATGCTTGTGCAAAAATAAAAATAAAGGTTCAGTCAGATGATAATCTGATGTGAATAAAAGCATTCATACATCTCCTGATCTGTAACTCAACTACACGCTTTTTATAGCCCAATCGATGGGAATGGCCGTTATATATCACAGATGAATATAAATATTTGGATCTTTTTGTTCATACCATTTGGCAATATTACATCTCGGCGCTCGCTCGCTCATACATTTCCATCTCTCCCATCCCTCCTCTCTTGCCGGGTTTCCCACGGGAGGTGCCAGACGGCTAGTAATTTGGTTGTCTTGGCTCGTCTGGAGTAACACCTGCCCCCCCTCTCTGGGGAGGAGAGCCTTTCAGCCAGGAGCACACATGAGACCTACACATACTGCCTTTAGCTGCTGACCACTGTGTGTGTGTGTGTGTGTGTGTGTGTGTGTGTGTGTGTGTGTGTGTGTGTGTGTGTGTGTGTGGTGTGTGTGTGTGGTGTGTGTGTGTGTGTGTGTGTGTGTGTGTGTGTGTGTGTGTGTGCTGTGTGTGTGTGAGAGAGAGAGAGAGAGAAGAGAGAGAAGAGAGAGAGAGAAGAGAGATATGTGTGTGTGTGCGCACAGATTTTTTTAATATCTGTATTGGTGTGCACTCTCTTGTATTGTATGTGTGTACAGTAGGATATGTGTGAGTGTGCCAAATTGGTTTGCACTTCTTTCCCATGCATGCATTGTGTGTGTGTGTGTGTGTGTGTGTGTGTGTGTGTGTGTGTGTGTGTGTGTGTGTGTGTGGTGTGTGTGTGTGTGTGTGTGGTGTGTGTGTGTGTGTGTGTGTGTGTGTGTGTGTGTGTGTGTGTGTGAGAGAGAGAGAGAGAGAGAGAGAGAGAGAGAGAGAGAGAGAGAGAGAGAAAGAGAGATATGTGTGTGTGTGCGCACAGATTTTTTTAATATCTGTATTGGTGTGCACTCTCTTGTATTGTATGTGTGTACAGTAGGATATGTGTGAGTGTGCCAAATTGGTTTGCACTTCTTTCCCATGCATGCATTGTGTGTGTGTGTGTGTGTGTGTGTGTGTGTGTGTGTGTGTGTGTGTGTGTGTGTGTGTGTGTGTACAGTAGGCTATATGTTGGACTGATTTGCACTTATAGCACCCAGCTCGTGTGCACGTGCACGCGCGTCAAAGAGCACGAGCCTTACGTCATCCTGCTCCGTATCCATCATGCCAATCAGCTGGATATTCCCAGCTGTCGCTATTTTTTTCCATACATTTCAAAAGCATTTGTAACAAAAATATTTCAAACCAGGAGAGGGATTTTTCAAGTATTTCCGTTTTAATTAAAAATAAAAGCGGAAAATATGAAAGTTTGTTCATTAGAAACCAGCTGTCACAGACACCTCTACTACAAAAGATCTGCATAAAGCAACAAGTAGCCTACACAACCCTGAAGAGACACACAATCTTTGGATAGAGGATATGTTTGTTTTTTTCCTTCACTATAAAATGACTTATTGGATTTTCGTAATACAAAGCAGACACAAATAAATAAATAAACCAAAATATAACATCAAAGCATTGAGGAGAATAAATTCAGACTATTATTTCAAAATGATCAGTGTTATTTTTTTGGTAACAGCAAAAAAGAGGGTTGCTTCTGATGACCCCGTTTATTACATTTGTCTGACATTTTGAAATTGCAAATTTGAGCAGCCCGTTTCTTATTCTTCGAGCAACACAACGGTGGAGGGAAATAAACATTTATGGGGCCATTGGACCCCATCTTGAAGTGCTTATCGTTGCTATTGATAGGCAATAGACGTGACATTAAAAATAAATGTAAAAATGACATACATCAAACATACACCAAACGAATAAATGATGGAGTAACAGAACGGGCCTTTTGTAACAGAACACCATCACTTTCCAAGTTCAATTCACAGCCTAAAATATAGAAGCAACAAACAATATACATTTATACAAAAAGACGCCAGCCTATGATATAAACATAAATAAATTAGCCTTAAATATAAACACAATTAAATAAATAATTCCATACACTTTAAAAAATGATTAAGGTCACAATTGTATATGTCATAAGTGGCACTTACGCATTTTTTTTCTTCCTTCACGGAAAACATCATCTAAACTAGATCTAAAGCAGCTATCTCTTTACATCCTTCCTCTCGATGTGAAATGTGTTATTTATTAGACCTCGGATTTGTACAGTGAGGGCAGGACTGTGATTTAAATATATCCATGACATTAGTATTTAACTAATATCATTTCAAAACCAAATTCTTGATATCCCTCCACATTTCTCCCTCCTCTCCTCCTGCTCCGGGAGGGGGACATGAATGCCTGCGGGACACCTGCAGCCCCCCACACTGCATGTCGGGTGATAATCATAATTCTCATTATTGCATCTAACAGCTCCTCGGCGCTTGTTGCTTTTTGTTCACAGGTCTGGGCTGGAAGTTGTGCATTTTTCCCCACAACTTTTAAACCGCCGTCACAATAACCAAGACTGCGGGGGGAGGGGGGGCAACTCAGTCAACTGGCAGGTATGGCAAAGTCCCAGCATCCGGGGATCCGGGGACAAGAGGGGAATATTTCATAGATTTGTATTTTAAGATTCTGTTGTAATTAAAACCTAAATTTGAGTCCCTGCATTTGACTTATATTGTAGCACACAGCCTATTAAAGATATTGTCCTTAACCTCCAATCACGTTATTCTGTTTTTTAAAACACATTTTCTACAGGTCATCTCTGCACTAAATGAAAGGCTACGAAAATATCGCGTATCCGTCCCCCTCCTCAGCCAACCTTGCCATACCCAACTGACGCACAGCATTTACGCGCTTGAGTCTTCAGCCCAAACCAAAGCATTTATGTCTCATGGGGGGGTGGGGGTCACTTTTAAACATCCAGCACGTGATTGAGATAGGAGATGTAGCATATAGCCAGTCTGAGTATTTCGATCTTGGAGAGTTTTTTGTCCGGGGGCAAGGTGGGGAGTAATTTCCTCAGCTCGGCGAAGGCCACGTTGAACGCCTCCACCCGGATCCGCTCTCTGGTAGCGTGGGCCGAGCGGTACTTGGCCGTGGCCCTCCTCCGCCTCCTCTTCTCCTCCCGGCTCAGGGGCTGGTCAGATCTGCATCTGGGCCGGTCCTCGCCCTCCGTGCAGGGCTCGTCCGAGGTGCAGCCGGTGGACTTGAGGCCGTTGAGGATGGACTCCGGGTCGGACTGAGTCCAGGAGAGGTCGGCCTCCGTCTGGTCCGGACTGAGCATCATCTTTATTCTCTGTTGGCGGTCACTCCTCCGTGAGAAACTGTAGTGAGGACAGAACAACAATTAAGCATTTATTTATATTCTCCCCAAAACTGCACTTGAATAAATGTGTCCTAAAAAAAATACTACATTTTAAATTACGAGCCTCCTCGATGCATCTTCAATAATGAGAAAATGTCAATTAAACGGAATTGTGTTTAGTGTTTCTGCCACTCCGAGGCCCCAGTAGAGAGATGCCCCAGCGGGGGCTTGTCTGGGTGCCAGGGCCCCCCATAAACCCAAAAGCGTCTACGTTCGTTGCATAATAACATTAAATTCCATAAATAATAAATGCATCCAACAATTCGTGTAATGGATAATTGATCAATGCCTAAGGCCTTACTAATTAGGAAAACACATTTTAAAGTCTCGTTTTTTCGTTCCAAATTATATATTTTTTGTTTGATAATCCTTACAACAAAGAAATACGTAAGTTGTGATCATTTTTAGAAGGAGAAAGTCCCTTTTCGGTGAATTAACATAATCAGAATGTGCCATCTGTCACAGTGTGATGAACACATCTGCTTGGCTGAGGCCAGAGAGACTTGACAGCATGGAGGCAAAGAGGGAAGAATAATGTTGACATCTGCTGGACATGGAACTAATGGAGATATGTGTTTTTAAAAAACGAGGAAAGTGAAAATAAAGAACTTGGCAGCACAACAAATTATCTAATTGGGGGACAAACATTTTAATAGCAAACTTTCATATGGAAAACAAATCCATTTAAAAATTGAGACTCACCTTGACAAATAATTTGGAAGCAAAACTCTTCTGGAAACGAACTTAAAAAGCACGCTTTGGCGGAGCTTCAACTCCAAATTAAGTCATATTCCACCGAAACAACCATCAGATGTTCAACAGATGCACCTTCAGTCTCTCCGAAATAAAATAATCTATCTGGACTCTGTCCGCATGGAAACTTGCAGCATGGGGGGGTCACAAGTCAGGCAGGGTGAATGCTCCTGCACGAGACAAATGTGATGATACAAAAAAGAGAGATAATAGTGATGAGTCAGTCCGTGGGATCCAGAGACAAAAGAAGAGACAGTGGAGAACTCGTCCCTGGAAGATGGGGATGAAGGGGGGAGATAAGCGAGGCTCTCCCGTGTCAGGGTGCAGAGGATCGGATGCAGCTCACAGATAATCCCCCTCTCTCTCTGGCTCTTCCTCCAGCCTTTCTTCCACACAGTGTCATATGCAAGATAAGATCCAAACGATCCCGGCTAATAAAGGCTCACTTCAGGGACGGAATATATTTGAGGAATGGTATTGTCTGACGCCGCCCCCTCTCTCTCTCTCCCTCACAAACACACACCTCCTCCCTCCCTCCCTCCCTCACTCCCTCCCTCCCTCTCTCCCCCCTCCCTCCTCACGCCCCTCAGCCCTCAGGCTCTCCCTCCCGTGGGAGTACAGTGGGCAAAGGGAAAGCAGAGATGTGTGCACGATAAAAGATGGGGAGGGAAATAAAGAAGGTTTTCAGTGGTGATTGGGAAAAGTAAATACAGATAGGTATGGGAGGTTTTTAATCTGATTATAAAAGGGTCTTACTTCTATTTAATTGTCATTTAAGATAAAATGAGATAAGGGATTATTTCCCCCAAGAGGGTCATTCAACAACACTGGAAAAGTCAGTCAGTTTAGTTTACATCTTTGTGTCATGTTTAATGTTTTCATAATCTTATTGTATTTTATTTTGAAATGACACATTTGGTCCTGTCAAAATGCCCCTTTGATTGTTAACACGTTTTGGTGAAAATTGGAATGAAGCAGACTCAAGTGTTTGTCACTGAAGAAAAAGTATTGTCTTTGGTTATAGCTACATCCATGCCTGATTAAATAAAAACAACAAATGACAATAATAACTCAACTTAAGTTAGTCAACATGGGGGGACACTGATGCTGTCCAAATCACTCTTTCAACCAAAAAGAAAATACATGTTTGACACTTTTATTATTTTCTTAAGCCCAAGGGGAAAAACAGTGGGAGGAAAAACACAGACATAACCTATTTTTCTGCACTATTTGAGCTATTAGAACATATTAAAAGTGACTAAATTAAGCCCATGTTAAGGGTAGCCTTCACAGCTGCCCCCTTAACCATTCTGTGCTGTCAAAGTTCAAAAGATCTTGATTTCATGTTACTGTCGTGGCACTGCAGCCATTCCACGGAGAGAGAGAAAGAAAAGACAAGAGAATAAAGAGTGAGGAAGTTCTGATATTTAAAACTTTGAACTTTCCTCTCTCTTTTCAGTATTACAGCTGTTGAATAATAATAATACAGTTCAAGTAGAGTATCCCACTGAAATGTAAAACAGCATAACATGGTGTCAACAAAGTGTCTTAAGAAACAGTTTCAGGAAATGTACTTACATTTCCTGACTGCAGGAGGGAACTTGTTGGATGCTCTAAAGTTTCTCCTCTCTTCCTCTCTTCTTCCCGCCCTCTTCCCATCATGCCCTCCTCTGCCCGGTGGCAGCGCCGGGTCATGAGGGCCGGGCTCCAGAGGGGGGGGGGGCAGTGGGCAGCGAGTGTGGGGACTAGCTGCGCCTAACGAGGTGATTAAAACGATAAGGGGAAGCACGGATGACTAGCCGTGGCCCGCAGCCACCGCCATGCTTATTGCCACACACACACACACACACACACACACACACACACACACACACACACACACACACACACACACACACACACACACACCACCACCACACACACACACACACACACACACACACACACACGCACGCACGCACGCACACACACACACACACACACACACACACACACACACACACACATGCAAACACACTGAGAGTGAGAGAGAAGTATAGAGCCAGAAGGACCATATCGGTGAAACTCAGCATGTTTGTGTGCTTGAGTGAGAGAGAGTGTGTGTGTGTGTGTGTGTGTGTGTGTGTGTGTGTGTGTGTGTGTGTGTGTGTGTGTGTGTGTGTGTGTGCGTGCATGTGCGTGTGTGTATGTGCGTGTGTGTGTGTGTGTGAGTTGACGGACAGCTCGCCGTGGGCTCCGGCCGGGTCCACGGAGTGTGTGTGACACAGAGAGACTCACAGCGGGGTGTATCGGAGACATGTCAGGACCAGGAGACAGAGGCCTCCTGACAGCTGGAGCCCACGGACACACACACACGGCCCACCACCCTAATTGCTCCACAGACGGAGAAGTGGAGATGGTCTGCACTCGCTGGTCTGCGTCAACCCCCCCACCCTCCCTCAGTCCGCCAGGCCCTCGGCCAAAGACATGAAGGACCCCTCCAAGGCTGTTTTGTTTGTGCCTGCTGCAATTACATCCCACAGCTGATGTAGGGCGGTGCACACGGGTGGTGCAGTCACCAGAGGATGGTCATTTCAGGCAGAGGGTGACACTCGCTGTAGTCATGATGTTTCTGGTAAAGACTTTGTGTTGGTGGTCTGAAACTCACATTAGATCATACTTCTGTTTTAGAACATGTCAGTAACATGTAATACTTCATGAAGATCCAGAAACATGACAATGCAGTTCATCCGTTTTCACTAAAGTGCTTCTTTCAGATAAATGGAAAGATATTATTTAAAATGCACATTAAGGTGTTGATATCGCTATTTTTGTCAATTTGCGTCTGAAGATTTCTCCTAAATTCACAAGAATGATAGATAATATGAACATGTTTGTAAAATGCCTATATCAACATCTCATTTGCATATTCAATCATTTGTTCTCTTCCACATCGACATCCCCTTTAAAATAATAAGATTTAGGAATTGTCCAAAGACAATGAGACGAAACACCCCATCACAAATATGTAAAATATACATGACAACTGTGTGTAAAAAGAGCATTACTATTGCATCAAAGCAATATTCCTTTCCCCTAAGTTATTGGAAACCAAACTTAGACACGATTGTTTCATTTGAGTTCTTGCAAGATTTTCAAATGAACAAATCCCACTCATATTAGGGTGAAATATTTCTTTGGAGAGACCACCCCAGGAACAGGGGTTTAGTCTGCCCTCTCCCATAATCATGGAGAAGAGGCAGACACACAGGAAGCAGCGCACTGATTTATGGTTATGATTATTCTTCACAGGGCTTATATCAGCCATCCAGCTGGGGCCTAATACTGCAGAGTTTCTGAGGAAATAACATGCAAATCTGAAACCTGAGTTTTTAGAAAGGATCAAATCATATTTGAGGCTAAGGCGAAGAATTGTAAAGGCTTTAAAGGCCATTTCTTTTTGTGTGGGTGGACGTCCTTTTGGAGATTCAGGAAGTTGCAAAGTGACGGCGGTAATGGAGTTATTCCTCTAATCAGTCGGAGCTCAGCGGACCCGCAGCTGTCTGAGCTGCTTGTTACAACAAAAACACCTTGAACCTGTGTGACACACTCCCACCTGTCACCCATCTCACACACACACTCTCTCACACACACACACACACACACACACACACACACACACACACACACACACACACACACACACACACACACACACACACACACACACACACAGTTTTGAACATTCAGGGAGCAGTGGGATGGAGCTGTGAAATGGGAAGGATTAGTCACTTTGTCAGGAGACGTACGAGGCTCCTCTGAGGTGGACGGAGAGCCACAGGGGGGAGGGGAGGGAGGAGGGGGGGGAAGGAATTAGAGGCTGGAGCAGAGAAATGGAAGTGTGTAAACAAAATGAAGACAAATGCAGTTTGAGAAAGACATGGAAAAGGAAGCTGCTTTTGCATCAGAAACTCTTAATTTGACAGTGATTTAACTTGTGTCTGTTTGCACATGGGTGCACTGTGTGGACGCCAACTCGCCCATGTGTTGTGTTCTGTCTTTTCTTCCAGGGTAGTGAAATAGGCAGTGGCCTGGACCCTGGCCGTGTGTGTGTGTGTGTGTGTGTGTGTGTGTGTGTGTGTGTGTGTGTGTGTGTGTGTGTGTGTGTGTGTGTGTGTGTGTGTGTGTGTGTGTGTGTGTGTGTGTGTGTGTGTGTGTGTGTGTGTGTGTGTGGTAGAGGAGGAAGGGAGGGACAGTGGGGGGGTTGTCAGTCCAGGCCTGAACAGGAGGTGTGGGATCCAGAAAGCTGGGGGTCCCATGTGAGAATGTGGCCATCCTCGGCACCATCTGTGCTCCCAGCAGGGCGCCCGGCGCGCTCTCCGCCACCCAGACACATATGGACACACAAAGGTGCTCACTTTCTCCCATGAGCGTACACACACACACACACACACACACACACACACACACACACACACACACACACACACACACACACACACACACACACACACACACACACACACACACACACACACACACACACACACACACACACAGACAAACATTCTGGCCGAACACTGAGAGTTGGGAGGGAGGATGAAGAGTGTGTGGATGTGCAGTGTGTGATAGTGTCTTGTTGATGATGCTGCTGACATAAGTGTGATGACTTTGGAGAGCCAAAGAGTCCTTATTAGTCAGCAAACGACCCAGCTGCATTCTGCTTTCACCAAAAACACATCTTTTATTCTCTCATTACAATGTAAAACTGTCCATGTTTATACATGAAGACTTAGTGCTAATACAAACGTAGTGCTAGGAGGGCAAGCCTTGCCCAGGAAAATGGAGCGAGTTCTGACAATTTTCAGCTGCCAACTTTTTATACTTAACGTTTGAAACAATTCAAGAAATTGAAAGAACGTTTTTACATTTGTTTCCAATGTTATCAGCCCATTAAATGGACGTTATCAGTTCTCACTGCCGCTCAAAGGCTTCAGAATGGGCAAACTGCATCCAACAACAAGCTGGAACATGCAAATCCAACGCTATGAGACATCGCAGTATCATTGTCACTTATGTTCACCAATATTTGGGATTAAGTCAAAGGGTAGATCATCATTTTGGTTCGAAAAATAATGCGTTACGTTTTTACAGGACAAACTGTCACATATTTGACACAACGTGTAGTTTTACAAGGGATACGAACTCCAGTCTTGTGTTTGCTTGACCAATCATCGTCACCTGACTTTACCTTTATACAATCATGAATACTACAACTACAACTAGACGTCACCGGCTCCTTGTATCCGTCTTTCTCAGAGAGCATGTGAATATATGATGTGAACAGCATTCTGAAGCAGGCCCCTTCCAACCCATATCTATGACGTGATACAGCTATTTTAATCTCATGAAATGAATAGAAGACAATTACTAGCTAACTTGTTCGA